AATGATAGTCATAATTACATTGTTTAAAAGAATTTATTTTAAAAATAAATTTTTTTTAAAAAAAATTATTAAATTTTAAATATATTTTTAATTAAGATAAAAAAAATTTTAAATATATAATTTCTTCAAAATTTATTTAAAAATTATTTTTTAAAGTTAATTTTTAAAATTTTTTAAATTTTATAAAAAAAAAAAACTCAACCATTCAATCACTCTGGAGAGAGAAAGTAGTGTTTTTATAGATCAATACGTACAGAAAGGACACGTGAAAACAATGAATGCAAACTTTGGCTGGCGCCTGTGGGTCTGACTTTGGACCATGTGTCTCAGATTCATAATTCATGTCCTTTCAAAGCAGTCACTGTCATGGATATGAATTAAAGCAATGGCTGATTTCCTACGTCATTTCAATGGTTAATTATACGCAGGAGGTTTGGCAGCTTTGGTAAAGGCCGACACTGAGTAACGTACATCACGGACTTTCCAATTTACCATGGTGAGTTTGTCAACGATATTAATGAAAACAAAAGTTATTTTATCCACATTTCTTTCTTAAGCCATTTTAACAGTAATTTTCTCAAAAGGAAATTGACAGAAGTTGGGTACTAATTTTGCGCAACACTTCCTCAAGTCCCAGACATTTTTCTAATAAATTAAATACCTATGATAAAATCTAACTTCAGAGTTTAGCGTTTATCATGATGTTAATATATTATTAATAATGAAAACCTAGAAAAATTCATAGTATTATATATCAAAAGATTATTGTTTTATGACACAACAAAATAATTTTGGTGACCAATAAAAGAAAAAGTGATTTTTAAGCTTTTTTTTTTTTTTTGTTTCTGCAACAGTTTGTCTAGTATAAGAATCAAACTATTTATTTAAAAAAAAATACAATATCCACGGAAAAAATTATGATATATTATTATTATTTAACCACAAATTAACCCAGTCAAACCTTAGCGGTGTTTTCCTTTTTGACAGTCATAATTGTTTTCTGTAAGATCACCACCATGGAAATTGACACTCCTCACCCCTATAACCCAAACAGCATTAGGATTTGGTTTTTTTTGAACAAAGCATCAGGATTTGTTTTTTTTTTTTTGAACATGAAGCATCAGGATTTGTTAATGTCAAGAAACTACAAACAAGGTATATAACACATGTCTAGCTAGATTCATAAAATTCTAGTTGCAACGTCACGTTTTATAAACGAAGTTACATATATCAAGTTCAAATAAATTCCTCAACACTACAAAAAAAAGCCAGCAAAAGAAAAAATGTCTAGAGGCTACAATGTATTTAAATAAATTTTAATTAAAATAAATAGATTAAATTAACATTTTAATATTTTTCATAATATTTTATTAAAATATCTTAATTTT